CAAGTGTTTTGTTTACACACACATAATGACCATAATTACTATTTCACTTCTAACCATTTACAGACAACATATGAGCAGAATTAAAGCTTAAAAATTATAGGTAAGAACGTAAAAGTTTCAAATATGACATCCAACTAATATTTCCCTGGTTAAATGGTTAGAACAATTTCATAAACCAATTTCACAAAGCTAAAAAATTTAAGCAAAACAGTGAAACAGGGGTGGTCAAAATAGCAAAAATGAGGAGTTAAGAGACTTACATATCCACTCAGTCACATCCCCATGCTGGGTTTTCTTCGATTGTTGGCCGTCTTCCACGCACCACGAAGCCCCTCTCACCGGGGTGCCCTCCTCCCGAGCCCTCCGACGCCAGGGGGGAAAAACGGCAAAGGGGGCCACAGGGGACATGTGTACTCAGCCAGCCTGCAACCACGGAACGTTGGGGTCGAGGGTGTTGGGGTTGGTGGACTGAGACGACTCTGACAGGAACAAAACCTCCAAAAGTTTGAAGGGGCAATGTTGGTGACGGTTATGGGATAAGAGCTGGAAGAAACGAGACAGCTTGGTGAGGTTTGATGTCTCCGACAAGGGGGATGGCTGTTGAGGGGTTCGAAGAAAGAAACGTGCAATATTTGGCTCGAAAAATGAAAGTTAGCAAGGGAAACCAAGTCCGCTGGGTTAATGTACGGCGAGCACCTTACAGAGGGTCCATATATCCTTCGTAAAAGATTAATTCACAAAGCCATACCGGGGACGGCCCAAAATACGCTTTCGAAAAAAACCATTCGGTAAGCATTATGTGCATTTCCCATGGCCTTCCTGTAATCTGCTTGTGACCTGTCGGAAACGCAATTGGTTCCCTAAGGGCAAAAGTAGCCGCTGTAAAAACCCTTCGTAATGCGAATTTCTTTGTAGTAAAATAGGTATTTTCAGAATAGTTATTGTCCGTACTTATCGATAAAATCCAAACATATCCCATGTCATTGTTATGATATGGTGTTTTTCACCACGGGATTCACAAATCATCGTAAATCTTTGGAAAACAACAGTACCCATAACTTTTGTTATGTTCTTTATTCTTGGGGGGTAAGCATTGTCATGGTTTTTGGTGTATCTACCATTGTTTTTTTTGTAAGATTCAAGGAAATAATAAAATCAAGTCTGTAATTAAATATAATTAAATAAATTTTGCGGTGGGACATTGAAAAACAAAAGGATGGGGGCAAAGAAAGCCTTACGTGAGAGGCCAAGAAAAATGTTGCATGCAATCCCAAAGAATTGTGCAATGGGTAATTTTAAAAAAACGCAGACTGATACAAGTATTAATCTTTTAGAATTCAATAGAAGTGTATTATTTTCAAAAGATTAGAGGAAGACAATCTTTGCCCAAAGACGAAATAAAAAGAAAACAAACAAAGAAGGGGGAAAAAAATAGGGGGTGTCCTTTAGGGTTGTTTTTGCCATTGGAAGAGTGTAGGTATTTAGAGGAATTTGTATAAGGGGATAAATTGAAGAACAAAAGAGGCGGGATAGATCAGGCTGTGAAGAGAAGCTGTTTGGGATAATAGAAGAGAACCGTGAGAGTGAGTTGTGGTGTTTTGGTTACACTGGCAGGATAGCCATTTGAAAGGAATGAAAAGGACTTTAAGGAGAACTCTTGTCAAAGCTGACATGTTGTGAAAAGAGAACAGCTTGGACTCATCCATCTAGGGAGGAGTTACCGGAGTTTCTTTCTTTATAGGGGATGTTATTTGGATTTTGTGTATCCATTGGTTGAGTTCTTTGAAGGTTGATAATCATGAATATGACATGCACCTTTGACATGTACCTTTCTCATCACATAATAATTCCAACCTTTCTTCCAAAATAGAACCTCCACCTACTGAATATTACAATTTCTTATCATTCACATAACCCATCTCCTTCGTAATGGACAAAATATCAAGTAACTCTATCTGTCTGGATCACATGACAAAGTATTACTTTCTGCAACATATGTCAATGACCTTTTATTCACAAACTTTCCACTACGGTGAAACACCACTTCAAAAATCAACTCGTACATCTTAAGTAATATATGTAAAAGCATAACATTCAAAACACGAAAGACATAAAAAACACTAACCCTATATTATGTTATCGTCGTAAAACAGTGGCAAAAACCTAAAATTGACACACATAATGATATATATTCAAGACATAAACACCTTCTATCTTCGTTATCAATGAAAGCTCGATTTTTCACTTTCACTTGGTTGTGAATGGAATCCATAATTTCTCTTCTCTTCACCATGGAAATCCCTAATTGATAAACAAAACATTTTCATTTTTTTGATTTTTCAGATCAGCCCAAATTTTCACGTAAGAAAACCTTTATAGGTTACACAAAAAAAAATAGATGTCTTGACAGTAGAAAATTCCCACAACAACATACCAAATCAGTTAACATTAACAATTTAAACTACGTCAACAAAAAAATTTGCTTGACATACATTAACGAATTTAAAAATCAAATTGATAGATTTTAAAAAATAGGAACCAAATAAACAGGTGGTCCCAAAGTGGGAACCATGTAATTAAACCTTTAACTCATTACTTAGTCATTCATAAAACTATCTTTTAGATATCATTAATCAGATGATATTTACGTAAAACTGAAGAAAGTTTTCAAAACATAATTCAATTTTTTTCAACTTCTTTTTTCCTTATTTTTACAAAAACAAAAATATACAGATTTTTTTCTAAGAATGAAAGTCAATATGGTCGGCAAGGACCTTTAATCTTTGAGAGGAAATGATGGTGAAATAATGCCAAGATTCCACATAGTACATCATCCACTCCCAGTAATGCCGTAACACGTATTATTTCTTTGTGGTAGGACATTTTCAGTTCGTACCATTTGGGTGCTTAGTTTGACCTTTCAGCATAGACGTTGACTTGAATTATGGAATGTGTGGTTTCTGCAACTGATGCTGCTGATTCTTCTTCTTCTTCGTCCAAATCAAAAACCCATTGGAGATACGATGTGTTTCTGAATTTCAGAGGAGGAGACACTCGCAGCACCTTCGTATCTCATCTCCACAGTGCGCTTTCGAACGCGGGAGTCCACACTTTCATCGATGTGGGACTTCACAAGGGACAGAACCTGGGGCCAGAGCTGCTGCGAGCAATTGAAGGGTCTCAGATAGCAATAGTTGTTTTCTCAAGAAACTACGCGGAATCAAGTTGGTGCCTTGAGGAGTTGGCAAAAATTGCAGAATGTCACAGAACTCATGGGCAAGTGGTTGTGCCAATATTTTACGGTATATTTGGTCAATACATCTAGTACATCCTCATGAAACCACAATCGGCGCGCTTCCCAGGAGGATCCTTTGGGGAACTGTGACGAATGATCTCTCTCCCATGTCTCGTACCAAATCATGCCTTCCAGTTTATTATTCTCTTCAACTTTCACCAGACTACGCTCTATAAGAACTGTTATTCCAATATCAGCATGCAGTCCACAGCCATTCAGTATCTCCGTAACATAGCCTCTCTCTTTTCCAATAAAGAAAAACAACAAATGTCAAGGAAATATATCCCTTTCCATCTGATCCTCTAAACCATCAAAGCTTATATCAATTTCTTCTGAACTTGATCATTGGGAATTATTCTTAGCTTAGATAAACACACTTCTCCACTCCTGTTTGGTTCTCTTGGTGCAAGTAAGAACCAAGAACTTCAAGGGCCAGAGGTAGTTCCTCCACAATAAGAAACTACATTTCTTGAGAGTTCAATGAAATCATGTTCGGGTTAATTCCCTAAAAGCACCAACTAAAAGAGATCAAGAGACTCACTTTCATTCATTCCTCCACTTATAAATGTAATCAACTTCAAGTAAATGAAGTAATCGTATGTCTCTAGATGTAACAATAAACACACTTCCTGAGCTTATCCATTTACGATTTCCACACAGGGCATGCACTTGCTCCAACTTAGTCACATCATCAAGAACAACGAGTGTGCTTTTTCCACGAAGTCTTTCCTCAATCAAAGTGGTCCCCGCTGCCGCACTATGTACCTTAACTTCTGATTTTAGGATATCTAAAAGAAGCTGTTCTGAAAATGAATATACCCTTTACTGTCCTGTTCACAAAACTTGTCTAATGTTTTCGATGAAACTTCTATAGTCATATGTACGACGAATTTGATTGTAGATGGATTTCGCTGTGGTTGTCTTACCCGATCCTCCCATCCCCCATATCCCTATTTTGCAAGCTTTGCTTGATTGATTTTCAATAAACATAATCACTTCTTTCACACGGGATTCTAAGCCTACTGGAAATTGGGTAATAGATAATGATGTGTTGTCTAGCGCCTGCCAAAACTCCTGGACAATTTTCTTCACTTGTTCTGCTTCATCCCTTCAACAATAAAAAGGAAAGACAGAGTGAAAAATAAAAACATTTTCAGAAAACTGCATACCCAAAAATATGTATCACCAATCATGCCTATATTTCTCTATCATTTATCTGTCTCAAGCAGATGGTGGAATACATTTTTGTTCTATGAATTGTAGGGTAGAGAGTTGTGAAAAAAATCCTTTGGGTGGCTTTGTTAATAGAGTAAGACGATTTCAACTTTTAACTTTGAAATTTTACTTTTTAAAACTTATAGTAAGACACGATTTTATTTTTCAAATTAAATTAAACAATTTTAAAATTATATATCGGAAAGAATAGCTATTTAAGTATGAAAAAATTAAATTAAAGAAAATCATTTACATACTTTAATAAAAGATTAGTAATTTTTTAATTTAAAATTATATATATAAACCTCAAAAACATATAAATATTTCAAAACAAGAATTACTAAAATCGGAATTCTTAGTAGTTTAAAACTAAAATTCCCTCTAAAAGTAAAAACATAAGCGTATTTTTTCCCAAAATTTTAGATATTAGTTGAGCTCTATTTCATCTAAAACAAAAAGACGAATTTAACAAGAAATTCGAATGAAAAATCAGTCAAATCATTCATTTAATTAAAAAAAATTAAACTGTAGATTAAATTGAAAAATATAAAAAGGTTTAAATATCTAACTAATAAAAAAAAACCCAATAAAACCTATTTAAAAATAGCCAAAACTTTGTGAGAAGTGTATCAATCAAGCCTAAAATTAATACAGCATAACAGGATACAATTTTGGAAAATTAAAATTTAAATTTACAGTTATATATTATATATACTATAATTATCATAATAATATGAGATCGTCTCAGTAAAAGGAAAAAAAAAAATGAGTTACCTGCATTGCCTCATTATCCCAACCAGTAAAATTTGCAACCTGGTTGAGTGCATCGCTCCATCTCACCAACGAATCTAGCAACGTCTACCAGAGAATGTTCTGACAGCAACTGCTTCCATCGCTTTTCCAAAAAATCACCCGTTTGTCTGCGCACAACCGATGGATCAACGT